CGGGGGCTCCCGTCTGCAGGGCCCGGGGCCGAGAGCCGGCGGGTCCCCTCTGCAGGGCCCGGGGCTCCGCTGCGGGGATACACGGGCAGAAGAGCAGCGGACCCCCAGCGCCTGCCCACTCCCACCGCGCAGGACTCGGGAGGAAAAACCATCTGAAAATCAAAGCTGGCCACAGGGTGAACAAAAGGTGTAATGATAAATTGAAATATCTTGTAGAAAGCAAACATGCATGTTATGGGGGATTCAAATCTCAAAATCTCAGGCTTTGTTGAAATTAACTTTCTTATACAGCTTTTATGACAAGAAATACGAAGTATTTTTGAAACTTGTGGAACATCAGAGAGAGTATCGCTCCATCATGAACAGCTTCTAATCCAGGGTCATGTAATCTGGGAACAGCAAGGGTAATGAATTTCCAGATACTTGTGGTGAGGGTAATTTCTTCTTACTGTACTGTCCATGTTAAAAATATACTTTCATCATTTAAAGTGTACATTTTAATTTTTAACGAGAAATAAAATGCACTCACTTCACTGTGAAGCACTGGGTATTTTTTTGTCAACAATCCCTGTACCCCAAGGACAAGGAATAATCATTTGCTCCAGTCAGAGAAGACAAGACAACCAGCTGCAGGTACCCCCGTGCGGTATTTGGGCTGGCCACAAGCAGGCATAGCACAAGGAACAACATAGCTGACTCGATGGATTTGAATTGCAGCTCTTTGCCATGTTTTTCACAGGTAACTACATCTGGCATCACACACGGTCCTATTAATTGTACTGTCTGCTACAGCTAAGACCCAAACGTGATTTCCATTGGAAAGTTCTGTTTGTTTTTTTTTTTTTTTTACTCTGATTATAGTATTTCTTTGGTTGCTGATATCTGAGGATCACTTTTGCAGTTGCGCAGTCTTTCTCTCTCTTTTTTCTTCTGTTTCCTGCTCTCTTCTTTCTGTCTCCATTCTTGTAGCGCAGTCATTTTGCTATCAATAATTTGTGCTATTTTGTCTTTTGCAAGTAACTTGCCCTCAGCGCACATTAATCACTCTGCAGATGTGAAACGGCCCACTGTTGACATTGAAAGACTAAGTTGAGCAGACACAGTTGCTGAAAATATGTTCATAATGCAGGTGCATTCCTTCCATCCTGCCAGCTGCCTCGTGGGGAGTCAGCCCTGAAACAGCCCACCTCTCTCTGTCCATTCTCATCACGTTGCTTTAGCCAGACCCAGCTCAGAGCGTGTGCATCTACACAGCCCGCCAGCTGCAGAGCTGAACTCAGCGACAGCAGGTAGGGGGGAAGCAGAGGGAGAGAGAAAGGCTTTTCCTTCCTTAGACTCGCATTTGTCAAGGCTCAGAAACCTCTTGGCTGCCTGCTGGCCAAATCCAGTCTACAAAAGGTGTTCCCAGGTGATTTTGAAGGTTGCTCTGGATGGATAGTTAGTCCTACAAGGTACCTCCAGGCTCACAGTGACAGGTCATGGCATAACTGGGCTGTGGAAAGGAAAGACTTTGGACACTCTGGTTGTATATAGCAAAAATGTTTCACCCCTGACAGTACAAATTGTTTTGATCTTGCAAGTTCCAAACCCCGCCAGGGCCTTCAGTGAAATTCTCTCAGAAATTCTTTCTTTCTCTGCCATTTGTCTGTTACCTCTTAATAAAAGATACTGTTTTGTTTAACATGCAAAACCAGGGATCCCAGCTGAAGGAGAGGATTAAGAAGTGAGGGGTGACAGAACAGAAGAGCGCATTCAGATGAACTACAACTCCTTTATAGGTCGCTCACGAGAACCCTCCTTTTCCTCAAACTGCGAACTACCACACTCTTGGTAAGCATGTATTACGCAAGGGAAACAACCTACCATCCCTTTCCATGGAGTCAGTATTCCTATAGGTGGACTCCATCTTTATACATTTAGCTTGATAGAAATTCCATTCTTTAGTATTGGCGTAGGCTGTAATTCCCAGTTAAATGCAAACAGAAGTTACACAATAACAAAATCACACTTAGAGAACTTGGAAAATAATAGTTTCTGGGTTTTTTTTATGTTAGTAGTCAGCACTCAAAAACATCTGGTGATTTTTTTAAAGAAACAATGCACTTCCTGCCTTGTAGTTCATGGAAAAGCAATTGTTGCCATTTCCAAAGTACCCATTGTTAAGAGAAACAGCTTTACAAGTTCAGGGACATAATTAAAGACAATGAAAGTTGATGGGAATAAAATGAAGAAACATCATAACAAGAAGAGTACAACAAGCAAGAAAACAACTGCAACATAATGGTATATCATAGCTTACAATTCAAGGGTGTAATAAAATGTGTCAGCTGAAAATATGTAGAAGGAAAAAACAGTTGGAGACCAGTGTATTATGAACAATAAATATTCATAAATTCTAATATATCTATTTTAATACACAATTCATATGTAAAAATGAAGTCCACTGACTCCAAATACATAGCAAATGGACAGATTATATGGGGACAGATGTGTAGGGTTGTCTGGCACTGTACCAGCATTTTTAACTCTTTGCAGCTCAACACAAACAGACATGCACACACACACACCCCCCTCCAGCTTCGGCAAACTCCCCGTAAACTTCTTGCTATTTATATCATCATCATAAAATTGGCCTTGATCTCTCTGGCTGAACCAGTACCAAGACTTAGAAGGAAATCACAAGGAGTGTATGAAGTCTAGAAAGGAAACAAACAGTCACGCTGACTTCGTTGAAGTTGATGCACAGAAATTGAGGAAGCTGTGTACCCTGCATAGGCTTATATGAAAGCGTTACACAGAGGTTTGTTCACATTTCTTGTATGGTTTTGTTAATGTTTTCCTTCCTTTGTAATACTTCTAATTTATAGTTGCATTTTTGTTCCAAGCTGGTGTTACTACCAGTTTCATATCCATTTTAAAATCAGGACTGTACTCATTATAGAGCTGTAAAAAACCTGTATTCCAATGGATGTGTAATCAGCTGTGATAACACAAAGCACTGATACAAGATTTTGTAGTGATACTATCTAACATTCCTTGTGTTATATAAGACTTAGCAAATTGTACAGTTTGCTAAGTTCTCAAAATTTTATTCAAATCGAGCCAAGATCTAAAATGTGAAAGCCCAAGAGTTCTAAAACTCTTTGACTGCAATTTGAGTGGCATTGTAATTTTAAGCTCTATTCATAGCTTTAGGCATTTTCAATTCAGACACTTTGTATGAAGATAAGTTACAGAAAAATGCAGCATGAAAGAGTCTAGCAAGTGTACAGTGTAAAAGCAGCCTTCTAAGCGCTTGCACATCGACTTACTTGCCCATGACAAGTATTGCTGCGTCCTGCTTCAGCCTTTGTCAGCAGCAGAATGACAAATCCATCGTACGCTGCCCCAAATCAAAGAGAAGCCTGGCATCGCTTGGTGAAGTTTGGCCAAGGAATCCAAGTCTGAGTCAGTCAGGACTCTGACAGCGTGCTCTGAGCTGCAGAACTTGCCATATTTACCCTATTAGATGCAATTTGCTGACAAATGTTTATCATGCAAATTAAGAGAAGGGAAACAACCACCATGTCATCAGCTGCTCCAAGCATCCTACAGAGAGGCCCAGGCTTCATGTCAAAGGGAGAAGACAAGCATATGATAGTTCCAAAGGAGCAAACAGCAACTCTTAGGAAAAAAATCCATACAAGACCACCCCAGGTGAAGATGCCTCGCAAGGCAAGAGTCAGGAATAACGGCATGTCATAAAGGTAACCTGCAAACTAAATATTCAGGTGAGTTACATTATTTTGCATTCTGATGCACACAGTTCTTTCAGTTCAATGTGTCCTTAAGCACTTTTAGATTCAAATATCTTGAATGCAGAAGCTTTCTGTGCTGTCCAAATCCACCTATGCTGTTCAATTGTTTTGCAGTATCTGGAGGCACACTTCTAAAAGGAATCCCCGCTGCCCCAGCACTTTGAAAAGAAAGTATTATGCTTGACATTGAATCCTTTTGGAAACTGGGCCTTAATGGCTGCACTGAGTATATGCCTATCTTTAAGACCTGGCATCAAGCATAGGCTATGAATGCTTGAAAATGAGGCCTCAAGTCTCGCCTTGGTGTGGACAGGAACCGTAGGACTGAGTGATTATTCCTCTTCATTCATGCTAGTTTGTTGGGCTGAAAAATAATATTCTCCTCCAAAGTGCTTAGTTTAGTCTGTAGATTGAAAGAGACTCCACAGTCCTTTCAGGGCAGGAGAGGAAGATTTGCTCTGATGATACTCTACACCCTGTCAAGAGTGGGCCTTACTTGTGCCTTCAGCCCTCATCTTTCACGTCATTTCCACTGCCTGTCATGTCTCTGTACCAGCTGGGAGTCCAGCTTTAGGGAATTGCAGAGCCAACGTGGACTGTTCAAATTTGGCAATACTTGGGGAAAAAAACCAGCTGCTTTCTAAGCTGGAATCTGATGTGAAATTCTAGAGGCAAGTTAAAATCCTGGAGTTCAAATCTGAGTTCATAGTTGAAAGTTCCAGCCTGACCATCTCTAGTTCTTCTTTGCTTCCTCTATTTCACCTCACACTGCTTTCTCCTCCCTGCCAGGATGACTGCAAGGACTCCTCTGAGCTAGGAACTCCCAAGAAGCACCTTTACGAGAAGGTGCTGGACCCAGCAGTGGAAGGTAACACTTCCACTATGGTATTGCCAGTAGGGGCATTAAAGGATAATTCACATAATGATACAAACTAGTTCTCATCGCTGGGTATCTTTCAGTCCTCTGAGTGTTATGCAGTACTAGGTAAATGTAGATTTATAAATACTTACAGGTCGAGGTTGCCCTGAGAAACGCTTGTTGTAATCTCTAATGTCATGTACAATTTGTTTACTTGGCTTATCTTGTTGCTTTTCACAAGAGATGTTATCCAGAAGAACCACCTTCATAAGAAAAGAAGAGCGGCATTAGCACAGTGTATTTTAATCTCCCATATAAAGGACAGCTTTCTGTAGTACGTGTCTCTCCATAGTCTCTGTCTTGCAACTGGACCTTTGTCTGGCTCTGGCAGTTCCACAATAGCAACAGTATTTTCCTTTTATAACCTGTATCCAACCTTCCAGTACAACAGGCAGCCTCTGACCAGGGTCAGATGAGATTAGGAACTTCCATATTGCTTTATTTATGGAATGTTATCCCAGAGATTCAATAAACTATACAGAAGTAAAATGCTGGAGGCCTGTTTAATATTTCACAGAGTTGCCTGATATGACATGTCAAATGATAAACGCGAATGGCTGCAGGGTCATTCAAGTCTAAGTGGGTTTCAAAATGCTGTGGAAAATTAGAGGATAAATACAATTGATCCTAAGAGCTCAAGCTTGTCATTTTGTATGTATCATAATGCAGATGTGTGCAAAGGGGGTAGGGCTTACCTTTTGTCTGCAGAGAGGGCATGTTATTGCTGCTAACCAGGGGCTATGTTTCCAGTATGTGATCAGACAGGAACCTACAAAAAAGAAAAAAAAAAAAAGAAACTGCATTAAGATACTTGAAATATATTTGAGGATATTTAATGTTTATAAGGAAGTTATCAGAATTGATAAACCCTCTTTCTACAACTGACTGTAAAAATAAATGGAATTCTTTGTTTTCGTTTTAATACGTGGTTTTACTCTGCAAAGTGACTGTAAAAATGGAGCCTGAGCTCTTCTACACTGGTGTATACACAGAGACACATGGATCTCCTAAGGGAGGCTTTGATTCAGTTTCTTTTCCTGCAGATAGCATCTTATTCCTGAAGCTCCCCTGCCTGTGGTTGAAGCGCTCAGGAAAACAGACACCCTTCAGTGCGCAGTGTTGGCTGCTACGGACAAAAGCAGCGCAGCTGCATAAAGGTAGGGCTCCTCCAGAGCTAGTATGACTTTTAAGGATTATGAGGGCCAGTTATCCCAGATTAAGCAACATGCACAGCCAAGGGACAGCCTGGTGATGCAGCCTCCTGGTGGCACAACATATATCTTGGTGATGAAATATCACACATCAGGCTATCTTGTTTGTTTGCTCTCCCCCCTCCCTTACTACATTTCAACTCCGTTACCCTGCTGGAACTGTGTAGCCCTGGAAGAGTGAGTTGCTGCTTTCTTTTTGATTCTTCTTACCCAGACAACTGCTAACTAATTTCCAAAGACAACATATGAAGGTCTCAGGTGTGAAAGAGGGCAGAGTCTGGAGACAGAAAGATTGAAGTGCACATGGAACCGACAGCAGTGGTTGACATACATGAATGTCAGTGCTGGCACTAACTTCAAAAACAGCAAAGCATAAATAGCATCTAATAAGAAGCAGCACAGCTTGACTTTCAGCTCCTGGGCGCAGTGTGCAGTGTGACAGGTCAGGAAAAAAAATCTCCCAACATTTAAACTGATCAACTTTGACAAGAACCCCAGTGAAAACAGAAGCAGAATGCTGTGCTGCCATTTCAATGGAATTGTTTTATTGAATTGAACAATGCTCTTTGTTCTTAAAAATAACCAGCAAGTAGTTTCTTGTAAGCAGTATTATAATGAGAAGTCTTCAGGAGCCCTCAGTGCAAGGTTTTTCTGCACCCAGACTTACTTTGCCTGTTTTCACTGAAAAGGGGAACACTAGAGAAACTGTGTTTGAAATCAAGTATGAAAATCTTCATGATGCTATCAGTTACATCTTATATGCTAGGACTAGGGATGTTGCATTTGTCCCAAAGATATTTTTTATGAACCTTGCTTGGACTTGTGCTTTTTACTTTTGTTTTCATTTGAGTGCAGGGTTTTCCTTTATGACTCTTCTACTTTGTTTGCACATACAGAGCAGTTGGCTGGGTGCACGGCTGTGTTTACATCTAAATGCCCATGCGGTATGTGTAAACTCAGTCTGGCAGCCAGCTTCCAGCTTTCGCTTGAACCTTTGCGTTTTGACAAACCTCCTGCCTGACTTCAGGAGCTGCTTTGACCCTCTGGGTCCAGATCCCGTATCGTGATCCATACGGCTGTATTGCTGTGCAATACCATGCACTCAGTCCCAATGATGACAGGGGGGCACTGATGGATCCCATAGTTCTTCAAGGGCTTTCAAAAAGGAAGCCTGTGGAAATTTGCTGCATGCAAAATCCTTTGTTTAGTAGAACGGGAAAGGAGGGACTCCTCTGAAGTTGACCTACTTGTGCTTTGGTGCATTTTTCATAAAATAGACAAAATCCTGTTTTAATCTAGCCTGCTCTACAACCTTCTGAGAGAGTCCGTAGGTTTCTCTAAAATACCTCTGTGGTTATTGTTAATTAGAAAAAAATAATATTGCTCAAGGATCACTTTTCAGTTGAACTTCCTGAACATATGGTTCGAACTGAAGCTGAAAAGGAAAACCTCAGGAAAGACTGTATGAATTACTACTAATAATGAAATCAGACATTTTTTATAAGTCCACATTAATCTTCTGTAGGAGCTCTGGGTTGACCACATTTTTTAAATAAAACTTTTACCAGAGCGGAATTTATTAAGAGAGCTCAGCATTGCCTTAGCCGTGTTCCACAGGGCATCAAGAGAAGTTTTATTACTGATTTCAGTCACAACAGACTTAGATCTACACAGAATGGTTTTGATAAGCTCAGTGTAAATTTTTATTGGTTTAAGACATGAAAAACAGACGTTACAGAGGCTGCTTCTACTGTATAAACATAGTCATAACATATATAATGCATTGCACTGGGATCGATGCTTCAGAGTGTAAATGTTGATGTACTTGAGGAAGGTAAAGCCTAGCAAAATATATACAGCTAACAGTAACAGTACACACCAAGTTTGTATATGGCACTTCTTTGCAGATCTCAAAAGAAAACTAAAGTCCATATCATTGTCATATCCACCGATGGAAAAGGGAAAATTAACCAGGCCAGAGAAAAAAGAAAGTTGATGATCATTGTTGTTATGTCTATCTTTGTACTTGAAACTATAACTACTGTGACATTATTTGAAACACATTTTGAGGCCAGACCCTTACTGTTTGTCCTAGAGTGAGTTATATTCAAAGCATCCTGTGTGTTATAAAAACAGTGTTACAAAAACATGAAACAACCTTAAGTATTAAGCGGTGTCACTCAGGAGGTAGACGAGCCCTACAAAGTGTCCCTAGCTGTTGGTGATCTGCTGATTTGTTGTGGTTTCAGAGGATGGAGGTAATGGCAGTGGTGATAAGGAGTTGTGCTGTGTGCATATCATTTCAACCTGGAGAAAAATGACACTTCCTAAAGATAAAAATGCGCTTTTCTTGCACCAGCATTAATGACATAGTCCCTTGTTCTCATTTATGCTTAGGTCTTTTTCTAAAACTCTTACATGGTGAAAAAAGTTAAGTGGCTTGTAAATAGAACTTGGATTTGCTTTAAGGTCTCTGTAAAATGCCAGAGCAGCAGAAAGGAGCTTGATGGTTCTGACCAGTGTCTTCTGATGTGTCTCACTGTTGCAGTAACAGATAGTGCTTCCTCCAGCCGCCTGCCTGCCCCTCTGCCAGAGATTGCTGATCTCATGCTGCACCACAGCCCAGAAGTACCTTCATGGGCAGTTTCGGCCTCATCAGATCATGAACTCCAGTCCCCTTCTGCCAGCCCCACTGTGGGGATTACAGCAGTCAGCAGGGAACCTGATAAGCAGCTGGGGCAGTGAGGTTGTAAACTTCACCTGTGAATTCACTGGATGATGTATTTCAGAGGTCTGAGAGAAACAACATTCAGTGCAAGTGTGGTGGTGGCCTTATCCTGCTGCCTTTCAAAGCAGGCGCAAAGCTCCTGCTGGCTCGGCTTTAGTGGTACAGAACGTGGGCCTTAAAAATCCGGAAATCCCCTTTATAAATGCAATTATGAACATAACTCCCTCCACTATTCTATGCTTCATCCTTGTATTCCCTTTGAAAAATTATTTAAATTTTGTAATCCTAACCATATGGCTTAGCAGCCTCAAAAAGGGCATTTAGCAGACACATTTAGCTAGAGAATTTTGGTTTTACTTAGATTATCCAGTGACTATAGATGCACAGCGGGAGGACAGGAGACCACACCATGGGCAGCCTCAACAGAAGGACCCTCTAAATCTGGATCTGTCTCTGTTAAGACAGATCCTGCACTGAAATAAGCAGTTCCTGAGCATGCATCGTGATGAGATGCCTTTGAACATTTTTCCCCTGTATGACCACACAGATTTACTTAAAAAACAACAGATTAAAAGGTTTATACATTATTAGAAGCTCACTTTTTGAATTGTTTAATATGTAACTTCCACTATTTTTTTTTCTTGTTTAGAAAGCTTTTACAGGACTATAAACCAATGTAATTATGCCTTCTTGCTCTAGATCACTTCTGCTTTATTTTAAGCAAATGTTTCACATGGAAAGCAAGTCTGTGGAACAGAATCAGACCTAAGCCCAGTGTATCTTACTCCTTATTTTCACCAACATAAATACAATCAGAATAAGTTTTATAGGATAGCTGGATTTTTATGCTGCTGATTAAAAAGACAAGCTGTCTTCCCAGAAGTGAGTTGGTGCTTCAAGGTAAGACTTCTTGTTTGTTACACCTTGAGCTTTCGCAGTTACAAAATGTATGGCTACTAGACCGTTGGTTTTTATAACAATTTTTTTTGTGTGATCTTCTGGTGCATTTTACCCTTTCCATGAGTTTGTGTTGTAATTTAACAGTATCCTCTGAGATGGTCTGTTACTTCTTGTCACCTTAAGACTTCTTGGCCACTTCAAAAGTGGCACCTTGTAGATGTGAAAGTAATGAGCAGATAAAAATACTATAGCTGATTTTTTTGGAGAATATAAAGATGGTAATTCTCTGCTTCTAGTGAAAGCACTTACATTAATTCCATGGGGGAGGGCTTGGTCCTGGTTGTTACACAGGACTTGAGATTTCTGTAAGAAGAGCGCTTTATTTAGTAGCCTGTGTAAGCACTGCACTGCCAATCCAGAAAACTTACCACAGAATAAATGTCCACAGTTGGTTTCTACCGGGAGAGTAGCTGTCTGGAGACAGATGGGGCAGCTGAAGTCGCTGTGATTACGAGGTTGCCAAATTTGGAGTGATTCCTGAAAGAGTAGTAGTACAGAGTCTTCAGTAAATTAGTATTTTGATTGACATATTCAGTTCATTAATAATAATATACTGTGATTATCAGAGAGTCACAGAAACATAGATGTCACGCATAACTAATGATTACCGCAGCAGATAATGAAAACTGGGCACAAAGAAATGAAGTGCTTTGTGTAGCCCTACAGAAAGGACCAGTGTCAGAGGTAAGATCATGATGCCACGTTTCTGCTGCCAGTGATATACCCACACACCACTGGATAATACTTAGGTTTTGAAAGCCAGTCGAGTTTGCACTGCTGGCTTGTCTAGCTGTCGTTACTAGTCAGACAGCACCCGACGTCTGCCTCGGTAGCTTTTGGATCCTTTTCCTCCTCCTCTGTAGTTACATCTATCGCTTAAACGTACTGAAATAAAGACCGGTGCGTTCTCTGCCTTCCTTGGGTGGCAGAATGGTATCCTTAGTGTGTACCACAAGGCTATGTAACAAAAAGACTCCTTTAAGTAAAAAGATTGCTCCAGAGAACCTTCCCTTTGCTTAGCAAACTCTATAATTAAGAATAATATTGAGCTTTGTCGTTAGAGCGGAAAGATAAGAACTTTGTAAGCCTCTGAAATGCTAAAGAGGCACTTTGAAGCTATTTGTATTACAATATTTCTGTAGGGGAAAGGCTGAAGGATGTACGTTGGTCTTCCAGTCTTTGCTCCTAAATCATTGCCTGAAAGCAGTAAAAGTCTATTTGGCAGTATGTTCACCTATGCCAGGATTGTTTGATTGCCAGTGGGAGATTAAAAAAAAAACATTCTTATTTGATATTGTTTCCTCACCACATTGAAACTTTTTGCTACCTTTATTATGATGCATTAGATAATCTGTAATGGATGGTGGACCTGCCTACTTTGTCTTAGCACACCATGGAGAAACTTGCATTTGACCATATGTTCGATTGCCATAACCACAATGAGGTCAGTCTTTGAAGAAAATGTAATAATAATGTGGTTAGTGTCCTTTCTTTCTCAAGATAAAGTTATTTCAACGTTTCTGTCAGTCCCAGAAACAGAGGAGCGCTTCTGAAATTGGGAGGGAGCTTCCAAGGAGGTTCCTCCACTTAAAGGCAGAGTCTTGAAGGTTATTGACTGTCCTTCACCACCTACCCATGTTTAGCGAGGTTCAACAGGAGATGGCATCAATTACAGTTTTATTTTGTATTTTGATAAAAAAATTACGAACTTCACAGGTTTCTTAATGACCACAGAGGTCCAGCATTATATGGAATGGGTATTATTTCTCCATTCCCGAAATAAGGCATTCAGATGAGCTGATGGCATACTTTGAGATTACAGTATCACTGTATGCTTGCTGTCCCTTGTTGCCCTGGTTGCTTATTTGTTTTTCAGATACCTGATTGCCACCTGTCTGCACGACGGATCAGTGAATACAATTCCAAGTATTTGACCTATTTATAGAAGTTTTGATGAGGAGAAAATTGAATAGATTTTATCTTTTGCATGTCAAATACCGGAAGATCCAGAGTGACAGTGAAGATTCAAGCTCGCTTGACAACAGGCAATGATTTTATTGAAGTAATTATTTTTCCTAATGTAGTAATTCCAAAAAGAAAAGAGGTTGTCATGTAGGTCTCCAAATGAATGAGCAGGAAATGGGGTCTCTTACCCCAGCCATGTCTAAAATTAGAAGTTCACCAAATTAGTAATTTTAAATCAGCATCTTTAATGCCAGTCTTTCCTTCGTCTAATGAGGATCTGTAAATATAAGAACCGGAGGTTTTAAAACAACGTGCTATAACTACTGGAAAAAGTCTTTCTCCTTTACAGTTTGTGAAGTTACAGATGTATTTGTTTCTGATTTCAACAGAAAACATTCAGATGCTGAAGGTGTTTACACTGTTCCCAGGTTTTCCTCTCCATGCACTGATGAGATTATCTCCTGCTGAGATAACAACCACACGATAGCCCGACGAAGCTGGGATGACTGGATATGAATAACTAAAACGTAACAATGATCAGATTCAAGTCCAGTGCACTGGCAGGTGAGCTCAGGCAAGCAGGTTTTAACACAGCACTACCTAAAATTCACACGGCACACCACATCCCCGTATTTTGACTTCCCATGCAATAGTGATGGGGTATTTGCAGACTGGGAAGAGTGTTGTTTCAACTGATACAAGCTGTAGTAGTTTTCATCGGCTGAGGAACTGCCCCAGAGCAGTTGTGTTTATAAACACTGCATACATGACATAAGCCACTTAGGTATCTACTCTTTATTTTTGCAAAGTAATAACACACACATTTCTTTAGCTTCGTCTCATACAACAAAGGGAACCAAATGTGTTTCTGATTATGCAATAGATACCGAGTCAAGGGAAACCCAGCATTCCCAGACCATAACCGATGGAAATTTTGAAAAGCTCTCTTGCCCTCTGCAACCTCAACAACTTGAGTGTATTTTGTATTAGAATGTGCTGTACAATAATTAACTTACTATATGACTCCTAGGGGACAAATGATTATAGTTTTTTTCCAGATGACTCATCTTCTGCTGACTTAATGAGCAAGTCTGCAGGAACAGAGTTTGTGCTGTTCAGAAAATAGGAAAATTGAATGTTGCTGTGTTGCCGTATGATACCAGTTCTGGCTGCTGGGGCAAGCTACCACGCAAAGGGGCTGGAAACTCGTCAGCTGAGGGCAAGTTGCTGTTGAGGCCTTGAAAATGCTCTCAGAGCATTTGAGTTAGTTAGGATTCTATGAATGGAAAGAACCAGGCAATGACCCTATATGAATGACACTTGGTGAAGAATACATGTGTGGATATGATGAAGAAAAATTAGTCAAACTCGGTACCATGAAGCAGTGTTTTTTACCTTCTTGTAATCTCTAGCCTACTGAATGAAGCGAGGTAGGAAACTCGACCAGCTCTGGCAGTATGACTAACAGGTGGCAAATTCTGAGGAAAAAAAATAGGCAGTTCTTTACATTTACAGTTTAGCAGGGAACGTTCTTCTTACGGATGCTAGAAATCTCTTGAGTTCAACAGACTCTGGGCATCAAGACTGAGGAAGTTCCTGAACCATACATTGCTAGAGAATAAAAGAGTATTCTGGGGAAGCATCATTAATGTTTCTTTATTCTTCTGTAGGCATCCATTGCTGCAGAGAGGGCAAGATGGCCCTGGGTTGACCTGGTACATCCATTCTTAGATCAATAGAGCATTTGGGGGGAAAAACAGCCTCGGAGTCAGCTTCAGCAAGGGTATCAGTGGCTTAGTCTTGTCCTGAGTAGATAGGCTAGGAAAAACATGCCAAATGTTGCATTTATTTTTAATGGATTATGTGCTAATAATCAAATTCCTGATTTATTTAGTCCAAGCACTCAAAAGGGTGTTCAAGTTGGCTTTATCCTAGTTATAAGGGGATCACCCAGCTGGATCTGATAGAAAGAGAAGACATGATATCTGGTAGCTGTAAGTCTGCCAGAATTCATTTACCCCTTCCAAAATCTTGAGCCAGCCTTTGAACAGTTGAACTAGCAGACTGAATTAGAGGTTGAAGTGGCGATCGTGGCAGTTCGTATTTTGTGCCACGAGGCTGTGAGTTTTTGATGGCATTAGTCTTAACAAAACAAAATACTTAGCGTGACTTTGCCTAAAATGACAGATTTTTAAGGAGCTTCCTGTCATACAGTAGTTCTACATGTAATTACAGACAGTAATTAAAATTGTTGTTCCTGTTAACATCTCAGGTTGGAAACTTTGAGAGTGCCCAATGAAGTTACTACTTCATAGACTTGTATTTGGATCTTGGTGCCTGTTTCACCTTTGAAAATCCCAGGCCTGGATAATGCCATACAGACACTGTAAAGCAGCTTTGAGGAATAAAAAGAAGACTATGTAAGTAGTTTTCTATGTAGCATCCAGAAATTATGCTCCTGTGCCAGGAACATCTCTGCTTTGGGAGAAGTGGGGCAAATTTGCACCATTTGTTACCAGAAACATCACGTTCCAGTAACTGTTGATTAGCTGCAGTCATATTAGGGAGTGCCACAAACTGTAGTACAGAAAACCAAACGTGGAAGTTCCGTCAGGATTCATACTGCTCACACTGGTGAGGTTTCAAACAAGTTTGTTTCCAAGTCTAAGAGACAGAGGGAAGCTGAGGAATTCTTCAGACCTGAAACCAGAGCATTCACCCCTTGTTATATGAAGGAAGATACCCAAGTCAAGATTTTCCATCCTATTCTCTTAATACTACTTTGAACACCTAATACCAGCTTTTAACATTCATCTTTAAAAATCCTCAAATATTGGCATTTCTAACCCATGTGTTCTTGGGAATCATGCTACAGCCAGAATGGGACAGTAAAATGTATAGTCCAGTAGAAGCCAATTTACTTCATTTGAAAGAAATGGGGGTAAAAAACCCACCCAAAGTTCAGAAGCAGGTTATTCTGAAAAAAAAAATCCAAAGATCCAGAGAAAGCTTTAAACTCTGCCACCTCAAATTTTAAGTGCCACAATACCTATCTTTTGGGTATCCTTCCCACCGTGAATTCCCTAGTTCAGAGTTACGACTCCCAAGCACCTTATATAGCACAGAGAGAGACTGAGACATATATCAGTAATACCCAAATCACCCAGGCCAAGTACTGAAGGCGCCTGCCATTAACTGACAGCAATACTAGACGCATAGGTTATGTCTAAACTGTCACCATTTGCAAGGAAATCCCCATCGTGTTGTGAAGCCGGGGGACCCAGCATCCTCTCAAGTGCACAGGAGTATTCTTTGAAGGAACTGGGCAGGGCTCAGCATTTTCAAGGAGTGGTGCTGGGCACCTTTTAAATAATTCTCAGTAATGAAAGCTTTCACCCATGTAAGGAACACTGGCATAGTGCTCTCACTGACCAAAGAGATTCAATCCCCACGCCCAGGGAGAAAACCCTCATCACTACACCAGTGGAGACCGTCAGCAATTTTCATCAGACCATGTGCCTGAACGAGCTAATGGACATAAAGTGACTCCCTGTCTAAAAATGCCCAGGGAAAATGAACCTACCCGTTTCATCAAACTAGCAAGACAGTAAGTTGCATGTACCGTGACATCCATGCTCATACATGACACAAATGGCTTTTGAAGACTTACATTAAGATTATGGGAGTTGCAATGGATGACGAACTACGGTGCTTCACCTCAAATTTTAAATTTGCTGGTTGGCAGAGACCATGGGAAGTTTACGTGTTTATTTTTAAATACAGTTTGAAGTTTTACTAAAATCAAGTCCTTATGTTTATATTCCTTTCTCAGCATCACCACAGGTGTTACTTGCTTTTGGGGTCAAATTTGCAAAAGAATTCTCCAGGGAGGTACCCCATCAGGGGCCAGGTTTTGAAGCCGTTCAAGCCCAGAAGTTCCCTTTGTGACAGATTTTTGAGGAAAAGGAGATCTTTTCAAATCCAGACAGACCTTTTGGCTTAAAATGAAAGCTGAGCATTTCAGAAAATAATTCTAGTAGAACTCCACAAAATTAAGCCCATTGATCTAAAATGCTGCCACTAGATTTGATGCATTTTCAATACTTAAATACAAAAGGAAGGCATGAAGTAGTGATCAGGTCCTTGATTATGAAGCCAGAAACCTTTGTCTCTGTAACACAGCTCAGATCACGACATCTTTCAGTTTTGCCCCGTTTAGTTTTAGTTTTTTGCCCGATTTAGTTTTAAAGCATCAGTGACGAGTCCATCCAGCTCAGATCACGACATCTTTCAGTTTTGCCCCGAGGAGATTTAGTTTTAAAGCATCAGTGACAAGTCCATCTTCATCGGCATGCTTGAAGAAGAAGGACTTAAAGTTTAAAAGCACTTAGCAGATTCGAGTGCTAACAAACATTTATTAATTTTTCCATGAACATGTGCCATTATTTAGAAGTAAACCAGACCTTGCTTTGAGGTTTAAACTTGTTAGGAAGGCATGGCACTGCGTGACCTCTTGGTCAGATTCCTGTGATAGGCGAGCAGCTGCTCCGTGTCTGTTACAAGGCCAATGAAGATGATCAGGGAGGATATACAGGGCAGCTTATTTGACAATACGTATTTAACCTAATCACAAGCAAATGAAAATATGGCAAATTTTAAAGGGAAGAATTGATTAATGCAATTTTTTCAAAAGCAATCTGATGATTAAAAGTATAAATAAATACTTCAATTATTTATTCATAATCATTCCAATGAACACTGCCTACCATGGTTCAGAAGACGTACATAAAGTTTGGCTTACCATTCCTCTTTCCAGAAATGTTTGAGGGGAGCTGAGTAGGTTGCACCAGCTGACAGTGTTGGTGTGGAATCATTCATTGAGGCCAGCGATGCGTCTCTGTCAATTATTGACTTAGTTGCCCAATGGCAAGGGTCTGTCAGGTTTTCTAAATTACAGTTATGAAAGAAACGTGGTGGGGTTCATTTTTCCCCTCAAATAAAGCAAATCTGCTATAAAAACCAGAGGACTCCTGGGAAAAAAAAAAACCAACAGCCCTCCCTTTGTAAAATGGCTAAATAAATCTTCTTCCCCCCAAAAGATGTTGAACATAATTGAAAAGATACCTGAAGCTAATAAAAAAATTGCATGACTATTTTTAAATATTAACTTGATCAAGGGCACGCTACAGATATTTTGATCATCTGATAGAGTAGCAGCTTATCAGTACTATTGTGAAACAGGCTTAGGACTTGCCAGGCGCTTGTGATACTTTGGAATTGCGTAACTGCAGAATTATATTGTGTAACACAAGATTGCCCAATTAATCAAGAAAAGTGCAGAATTTAAGCAGAGGGTTGAACATGCTAAAATAATTTTAGTAGATGGGCATGTGTACTTCATAAGGTATTTATTTTTTGTCCTGCTCCATGGTCCTTCAGGAAGGTTTGATTTCTGTAAAGATGTTCTCCAATCTAGTGCAGCAAAATTAATAAGGAAACCTGTAAAGGGCTTGGTTTTGTGTGGAGTTAACCATCCGGATACTGATTCAACAAGGCATGGAAGCACATGCCTGATTTTCAGCCCTCAGGTAACACATAACCTCGTAGGGAGGGGTGGAGTGGGAGTCAGTAATATTGGAAGAGAAATACACTTAGAACAAAACAAAGCAATTTTCAAAGACTAATAACCGGATGGGATTTGTAGCATAAACAATGCTCCTTGTTAGTCACCAGTCCCCAGGGCATCTTCCTCACTTTGTTACAGATAAATTGGCAACAAATGAAATACTGTACACGATTTCCCGCCCTGGGTATGCAGGCGTGCTCGCATGCCAGTGTGATAGCTGTCATTTATTATTTATCCAAGTATGTATACAAATCTACAGTGTGATTTAATTACTCATTAAAAGGTGCCAGACTGACAGATGCAGAAGCTGGAGCCATTTCTTTATCCAGAGAACTGACGCCGTGTAAGCAGTAGCATCCTCTCCAGGCTGCTCCAGTAAAACGCTTCACCCCGATGGACTCCCCAAATATCTGAGCATTGCTCTTTCTCACCAACCTTTTCCCAACTACTCTGCTCAACATGTTGAATTCATGAAGGCTGCTAACAAAAATGTCAGTTATTCCTGTGATTTTTAGACAGGAATGTTTACACACTGGAACATTGGTTTGAACACATTAAATCTATTTTAGCTAGTACTAACTCAGAAGAGGATTTGAATGGTTTTAATACAG